GTCGAACGGCAGGCGCAGGAGAAAAAAGTGCGAGCTTGTTCGCACTGCGGCCCCGCGCGACACCGTGACCTTGACCTCGTACCTGCGGTGGGGAAGCAGCGCGGCGTAGCTGCTGTTGGCGTGGTGCCGCAGCAGCCCGCCGGCGCCGTCCGTCAGCGTCGGCACGTGGAACGACTCCGCGAGGGCCACCTCCCCGCTGGCTGCGTCCGTCACCGCCCAGTGAACCTCCGTCGCCGGCAGCAGTGCGGGCGAGACGGCAAACGAGGCGGCCCACGCCCTTCCCCGCAGCTCTATAACGTCCCTGCCAGGCGGCCGCGGTGGCAGACCGCAGAGCGGGCCCGCGCCGAGTATCGTCACCGGTGGCAGCGCGTCGGGCCGCACCTGCAGCATCGGCATCACCAGCAGGGTGTGTGGGCACTTGCACTTGATCGCCACGTTCGCAACCTTGAGGTGAATGTCGGCGGGGGCGGCGGGGGCGAGGCCCTCCGCGGCGCGGAAGAGCGGGAGGCGGAGGATGCCCGCACCCACCGCCCCCGACACGAGCAGGAGGACGTCGCCGTCGCCGTCGTTCTGCTCCCGGGCGTCCGCCTCCGTCGGGACGTACGCGGCGTCGTAGCGGCGCTGCCGCAGCGTGTCGACGATGGTGACCCGCTCGCGCGGGAACATCCTGCGCTTCTCCGCCGCCCTCAGCACCTGAAACGGGGACGCCTGCAGCAGGACGTGGAGGAAGGCGTCGTAGAGGGCCTCCTCGCGCAGCAGGGTGCCGTTGTACCTGTAGCCGCAGCAGAGGCTCAGCTTCAGCGTCAGGTTTGACGCAGTCAGGAAGCTGGCCGGGGTGAGCACGCCTCCCACGGTGAAGGTGCCGGAGGCCCACACCATGGAGGAGTGCGGGCAGCCGCGGTCTATGCTGCACAGCGAGGCGGTGTCCACGCGAGACGCTGGGGCGGCGGCATGCGATCGTCGCTGCGCATTCAGCTCGGCAAGCGTCGGCAGCGATGTCGCCGGCGTGCCGCCGCGTTCCTCCTCCGCCGCCGCCGCCGCCGCCGCTGCCGCCAGCGTGCAGCCGAAGCAGAAAAAAAGCAGCAAGCCGGTCAGTGCCAGCCACGCCAGCGGCGGTCCCCGTCGGCGTGGCCGCGGCTGCTGCCTCCCGCGCACGCGAGGCATTGCTCTATCCCACACTCACACACACACACGCACTCCCTCTGCCTCCGCAGCCTTTCTGCTGTCGTTAACTACGCTGCGTTTCCCGCTGCTCCTTCCCCTTCTTTCCTTCCCTCTTTCCCTCTCTCTGTGTGCACCTCTCTCTCTCGGTGTGTGTGTGTGTGTGTATTTCGGTGCCTTCTCGGTTTGACCGGAGCCCTTCTCTAAGCCCCTCCCCCTCCTCACACGCACGCAGTGACACGAAACAAAAAGAAAAAAAGTAATCCCCTTTCCGCTCCCTCGCGGGCGTGTGGGATGCAAAAAAAAAAGAAAAAAAAGGGGGTGGGAAAAAAAGCGGCGAGAGAAGAACGTGGCGGTCAGGGACGCAATGGGCGCAGAGGGAGAGAAGACACGAGGAGCAAAGGCGGGGCGCACGAGTGGGGGGGAGGGAGTCATTTGCGTGCGGTCCGCGGGGACCGCAGAGAGGGATGTGACGCGTGAGGAGCAGCGGACGAGGGAACAAAATGAAAAGAGGGGAGCAAAAAAAAAAAAGTGCAAATCAAGAGGGCAAAGAAAGCGTGAAATGCACGCACACACACACACAAACGCTCTCGCGGTGCTGCCGGTGCCGGTGCCGCTGCTGCTGCTGGCGGCGGTGGTGGGTGGGGCTGGGGCCAAACCCTCCCCCCTCCCTCCCCGCGCGCATGTGTGTGCGTCTAGCAGCAGCAGGGGAGACGCGTACGTAAGAAAAAAAAAAAAGGATAGCGTGTGAGCAGCAAGAGAGTCATTTACCCAGACGTATATAAGTATACGTGTACACATAACTACACATCACGTACACACGGAAAGAAATGGAAAAAGCAACAAGAAGTAAATTTTCACATGATGCGGTGAGCATACGCCAAACACGCCTTTCTTTCTTTCATTCCTTTTTTTTTTGGCTCTTTATATTTAGATATATTTATATACATACTTTTGTAGTTTTGTCCTTTTCCAATGTCCTTCCTCCCTCGCACGCATCTTTTCTCTCGCCGCTCGGCACGGTTACCTTGCATCTCGCCTGGCAGAGCGCGGGGAGGGGGCGCCAAGAGGCACTGCGCCCGCCCCCTCTTCCCCATTCGCAGCGTTCAGCGGCCCCGCACCCACAACTTTTGACGGCGTTTCGTTTGCAGCCCGCAGCGTGGGCCGAGGCAGCGGCGAGCAAAGACTGAGAATTGGGGGGGAGGGAGGTAAGTAAGGAGGAAAAGCACTACAAGGCAAAAAAAAAAAAAGACTGCAACAAAGGGGAGGGTGGCAGAGGAGGGAAGAAGAAATGGGGGTACATGAGGCCTCATACTCCGTCTCCGCTTTGGGTGTTGCTGCCGCAGCCGCGCACGCGCCCCAGTTCGGGTGGGAACTCGCTGCATCTACTCACTCGCCTCATCCATCACCTCCTGCAGCCGGTTGTCTGCGCAGGTGATCCAGTCGTGCCCTAGCAACTCCTTGGCTGTGGCCCGCTCATGCGAATCCCGCTCAAAGCATCGCGTGAAGAAGGAGTACAAGTTCCCTGGGCAGTTCTTCGGCACCCCAGTTGGCATCTCCGTGCTCTTCGAGATGTGGTACATTATCTGAAAAGCATTTAAGTTGCTCCGCATCGCCCACGGCTGACGTCCCAGCATCTCAAGCACCAGGCAGCCAACAGACCACACGTCCGCCGGCTTGGAGTAGCCGCCCACGCCGTTGAGCACCTCAGGTGCCATGAATAGCGGGGTTCCGACCATGGTTTGGTAACCAGCGCCCTTTTCTCCCGTGCTCTCCTGCTGCATCGTCGCCGTGCCGATGCGCTTGCTACATCCAAAGTCGGCGAGCTTAGCTTCGCCAAGGGCCGAGATGAGAACATTGTCTCCCTTCAGGTCCCTATGAACAACATTCATGTCATGCAGGTACGCCAAGCCCTCTAAAATCTGCTTCGCGTAGGTGCGAACAAGCGAAATGGAGAAACGCTCCTTCGCCCGCTCAAACTTGCGACGGAGGTGGGTCAGGCTTCCTCCGTGGCAGTGCTCGAGGAAAATTTCCAGCTGCCGAGCCCCACTAGAAAGTTCCCTGGTCTGGCAGCCGTAGTACGCGACGATGTTCTTGTGCTTCAGCGACCGCATCAGGTTGATCTCGCGTTGAATGCTTGCCACCTCCTCGGCGTCCTCGTCAACTGGGATCTCCACCACCTTCACCGCCATGATCTTCCCCTCGCTGGTGATGCCCTCGTAGACAGTGCCAAAGGAACCCTTGCCGAGGACGCCCATCTTGCTCCACTGCACCTCCTCATCCTCGCGGAAGCCTATCGTCTGCGCAAAACGGCCCGTGGAACCCAAGTTCACGGAGGGGTTGCTGCAGCCCCCAGAGAGGAAGTCCGTGGGGCCGGGGCTTGTAAAATCGGTCGCCGAATCCTCCCCCATGGAAGTCATCATTTGCCGCGCCTGTGCTGAGTTCTGCTGCTGCTGTATTGGTGCTGGTGGTAGCGGCGATACTAACCGTGTTCCCTGTTGCCCCTGCGCAAGCGGGACTTGCAGGCGTCGCAGTTCCTCCTCCTCCTTCTTTCGCGCCCTGTACGAGTCGCGTACGTACAGGCGAAGCACCGAGCTGCTACTACGCTCCCCCTCATCCGCACAGGGACTCAACTCCACCGGCCGCGAGGTGCGAGTCGCAAGCGAAGCGCTTCTGCGAAGTGTACCTCGTGCCGAAAACCGCTGGGGGGGCTTGGAGTCCAGCGCCTCCGCTGCCGCCGCCCCCTCCACCGCGCCGCCCTGCCTCTCCCGCTGCTGCGTCCGCAGAAACTGCGCGAGGAGGTTTTTGAAGTCGCGCGGGACGTCAATGTCGACGTGGTCGCCCGCGGCGTCGATGCAGTACATGTCAAAGTCGCGGAGGTGGGCGTAGGCAAAGCGCCGCCTGACGTCCTTCGCGAAGTCCCTAAACTTCGTCCGCCGCGTGACGTAGATGACCTTCACGTTGCGGTCCCCCTCGCGGGAGATCTTAACGGTAATTTGCTCCTCCACCCGCTGCCGCCGGCTACTGCCGCTCCCCTCGTCCTCCTCGTCTTCCTCTTCCTCCTCCTCCTCCTCCTCGTCCTCCTCGTCTTCTTCCTCCTCGTCTTCCTCCTCGTCCTCCTCCTCCTCATCCTCCTCGTCTTCTTCCTCCTCGTCCTCGTCAGCATCGTCGTCGTCGCTATCGCCCTCGGCGAGCTTCTTGCTGGGCCTCTTCACCGCATCGACCGCGCTCACGGCCTGCTGCTGGACGCTGAGCGCCGCCGTCGCGCCCTCCTTCTGGGCGGGGTCTGGCTTCTCCCGCAGCGGCCGCCGTGCCTCGCTGCCCTGGCCGGCGACGCTTCCACCGGCGCTTCTGCCGCTGCTGAAAAACGCCGTGCCGGATTGCCCCGCCGCGCCGTCGCTGCCGGCCGTCACCCGCCGCACCTGCGGGAGCGACTGCGGCTGCAGCGGCGTCTTGACGCACGAGGACGACATCACCGCGTCGACTTGGCCCCGCTCCAAGTCCTCCACTACGGGCGCGCTGGTGCTGTGGGCGGGATCTACGGCCTCCTTCACGCCACCGCCGCCGCCGCCGCCGCCGCCCGCCGGGGATGGCCGCAGCTGCGTCTGCGACGTCCGCTTCGCAGCCTCCATCGTCTCCCCTGCGTCCTTTTTTTTCACTTTGCTCGCCCCCGGCCTCTCAGGGCCCTTCTTGGGCTGCTGCGGCTTTGGGACTGTTGGCCGCCTTGGTTTCTGTGCCGTGGTGCCGTGGGTGCCCATCGCGGGTGTGGCGTGCACCGCGGGCGTGGGCTTCTTCTTGTCGGGTTCCTCCTTCTCCTTCCGGCCATCGTTGCCCTGCTTTGCAGGGCCAGCACGCCTCGCTGTCGTTTTTGCGTTCACCATGGCTGCCTTTGCTGCAGGTGTGCCACCGCCGGAGCTGGTTGCCGCTTGCTTGTTTTGCTTTTGCTTTTTGTACCTTTTCTTGCTTCTTCCTCCCCACGCACGGAGGGGCGCCGGGCACTCTCCTAGAGGCAAGTACGTGCGACGGAGGGGCTGCAGAGAGGGAGAGGCAAAGCGGGGGCGAAGGATGAGGCGGGGGGGAGCCGAGAGGGAAAGAGGGGCGGCCGCTGCCGCAGCGGGGCGGTGGGCGCGGGGGGGGGCAAAGCCCGCGGTGCGCCCCACACCGCCGGGGAAGAGGCGGTGGAAACCCGCAGGCAGAAAACGGCTGCGGCACGAGGCACGCTGGAGTCCTGCGTGTGGTCGGCAGCCGCGCACGCACACACACACGCGTCGGTGCAACGAGAAAAAAAAAAGTGCATGAGTAAAAAACGGAAAAAAAAAACCAACAACAACAACGACGGGCGGTTTCGGCAGTCATGTCGGTGCAGAAACGTCTCGTGAAGAGCGGCGAAAAAAAGGGCCAATCACGTCAGATAATTCTGCAGCAGAACAAAAACCGAAGGAAGTGGGGGGAGGGGAAAAAAAAGGAAATTCCCCCAGATATAATCTGCACGCAATGGCCCAAGAAGCAAACACCACAGAGAAGCTTGTTTTTCTTCTTCTTCTTTTCTTCCTTCGGTTTGCTGTTGTTGTTGTTGTTGTTTTTACCTCATTCCCCACGCAAAGGCACAGTGAACCAAAATTTTATCTACACTCTCAAGTTGCGATTGCACCTGGGCAGCGGCGTCTCTCCCACTGCCCTCCCGGCACTCCCGGGCGCAGCCGGAGCCGCAGAGATGAAAAAAAAAATGGGAAAGACGCAGAGGAGGGGCATCTAAGTCTAGAAACAGGTACACGCACGACTGGAAATACAGTGGGCGGGGTGCTCAGTGGGGGGTGCTGAGTCACATGTTGTGCTGCACACGCCCTGCAGCGGCAACGCCTCTCCCCCCCCCCCACCCACCCACCTCCTTCGCTGTAATATAACATGTAAAATATATACAAATATATGTGTATTTCTTTTCGAGAGGGGTTGGTGTTGAAGACTCTTTGGTGGCGGCGGCGGCGTTTGCTTTCACGCCTGCCGTGTCGGCGCGGGCGCCTCTGTTGGCTGCGCCGGGGCGGGACTCACCGCGGCCGGGGCATCCTGCTTCACCACGGCGTGCGGCTCCACGTTCACCTGCGAGGGGGAGCGGTTGCGCAGGGAGGGCCTCCGCCTTTCCGCGCCCGGCTCCGCCGCGCCCTCCCTCGCCTCCTGTGGGGGCTTGGCGTGCCGGTGCTCCTCGCCTTCCGCGAGCGCCGGGGTGTTGGCGGGGGACGGCACCGAGACCGAAATTGACCCCTCCTGCAGCCGCATCTCGAGCACCGTCGCTTCCAGCATTGCCGTCGCATGGGGGCCGCCCTCCGCGCTGCCGCTAAAGCCAAGCCCGGTGGCCTCAAAGCGGGCAGGGGATGGGCTCTTCTTCCCCGCGTCATCGCCCTCGGCGCCGGCGGGTTCATTGCGGCTCTGCCCGAGCAACTCCATCCCCTGGCCCAGCGGCACCCACGCTGGCGCCGCCGCCGCAGGCGCCTCCTGCTCGTGGCCAAGCGGCATCCATGGCTGAAACACACCCGTGTCTGGCGCGGGGGTCACCGATGGATTTTGACGCCTTGCCAAGGCGGCCGGGTCGTGTGGGTCCGCAAAGACGTGGCCCTTCGCGGCGGCGGCGCGCAGCGAGCCCCCACCGCTGCCCCCCATCACACCACGGGCGAGGGGCAGACCGCTGCCAGGGGCAAAGGACGAGCGCCGCCCGCAGAAGGTGGTGGCAAACTGCGAGCCGGCCGTGGGCGTCCCCCGGGTCGTGGGGCGTGGCTTCGGCCGCTGCAGCGCTGCGGCGGCAACCGGCGTCGCACGCGTCGGCGTTGTGGATTTCAGGGAGCCGTCAAACACCAACGGGGACCCCTTCGGGAGATCCGCGAGGCAGGGGCTTGCAACCGGCGGGCGAAACGACATGCTACTGGACATCCCGGAGAAATTCAGCCGCCGCGACGCATCCCCGACCGAGAGGACGGAAGACTGCGGCCGCGAGGGGCTCGCCTCACGCAGCGGCGTCCTGTCGCCGTAGCTGGCGGAGGCCTCCATGTTGCGCTGCGAGTTGGACATCGCAAGCGGCGGCGCCGCGCCGGTCTGAGCTGGGTTCTGCTCAGTTCGGACGGCGCGCTGGGCGCACGGCGTCGTCGCCGCCCCCGCAGGGATCGTCGGCAGCGGGCTCCCACACACCACGCTGGAGGGGGGCAGCGTGACGAGCTGCACCCGCCGCCACGGACTCGGGCCCTCGTTCACGGAAGTTACCAGGGAAACCGTGACGCTCGGGGCGTCCGTGCAGTCTGGGCGGCTCTCCTGGCCGCCGTCGCCGCTATTGCCGTTGCCGCTGCTGCCCTTGTCTAGGGGCGCAGGAGGCGCAGGGGCAGCCAGCGACGGCGACGCGGTGTGGCCCCGCCACTGCGTGCTTTGGCTCAGCAGAACCGTCTGCCCCATCAGGCTGCCCTCGAGGCAGACGGAGGGGCCGCCGGAACCGCAGGGAGGCCGCGACACCGCCGCACAGCGCCGAGGCAAACTCTCCGCCGCCTCCGGGCTGCGCGTGAGAGTCATGCGGCCATCTGCGGCGGCAGCGCCGCAGCCTTGTGCGCTGCGACCCGCGCTCATTGCTCGGCGTAGACTGCGATCTGGCGGGGGGAGGACGCCAAGTAGCAACAATCAAATAAAAAAAAGGAAAGAAACAAAAAAAGCAGCGGCGATGGCGCTGGTGACGGCGGTGACGCCGGTAAGGCAGCAGCGAAGGAGCAATAAATAAACAAAAGCAGAAACGCCACATAGCCCTTTATCGTCTTTGCGTCGGCAGCAGTGCGGCCCGCCCGCCCCGTGGGCCGCGCAACGACACGCACGGACGGAGAAAGGAATGGAAGACAGAGCTATGCTCGTTGGGCAGGCACACGCAGAAAGATAGAGAAAGCGACACCCCGATGGCTGCGCACCACAGGCACGCTCACTGCGCAGGGAAAAAGAAGGGGCCAGAATACAGCCCTGCCCCTCCTCGCATGCATCCACGCCTCCCTCAGCCCCTCTACACAGATCTCCCACGCGCACCAGCACAAATTGCGTGTCGCTGCCCATTTGCGTGTGCGTGTAAAAAGGTCGCAATAAAAAAAACACACACACACAAAGCACCGTACCGCTGCCACCAACTGCCCATATGGCCAGCACAAATGCCGTCGCTGCTGCTGCTGAAAGCGGAGGCAGCAAACACATGCCGCACGGAAGATTGAAGGGGGGGAGGAATGAGAGGGAGCACATAATAAAAAAAGTGATCCATATTTCTAATTAAAGAGACGAGTAGCTTCGGATTCTTCCTTGTTTGCCCCCCCTCCGCGTTTCCACCCCCTCCCCACACGTACACGCAAGAAACAAAGAAACAAGCAAACAAACAAAAACAAAGGCTGGGGAAGGTTGCTGACGCGCGTCCTTGCGAGGACGCCGTTCTAGCAGCAGCGCTTCCGTCAGCTGGGGAGAGGGGGTTGGCGAAGAAAAGCGGAGGCGTGTGACAAACAGAGGGACGGCAAAACCGGCAAATCAAACAGCAAAAACAGCGCAAAATAAGAAAATACATCGCATGAAAAAGAAAAAAAGAAAAAGAAGAAAAAACGGAGGGAAGGCGGAGAGAGGCGGCAAGCAGCGGAGATGACTGTGGAGAGTACTTCCGCTGCCACCCCAACGTCCCCGCGCGCGTCTACGCAGGCGGCAGCTGTCGCCGGGCCCGCTCAGCGGCAACCTCCGCGGGGGCCAAACTTCGCTCCCGAAGCGGTGGCGACGCACCCCGCACTTCGTCGTCGTCGTCGTCGGTCTCTGCGGCGGGGCAGGCCGGCAACGCCCCCAGCGCCGTTGTTTCCCACAGAGCCACAGTCGCCGCCACTGCCCTGGCGTGGCGCGCCGTGAGGGCCGCCTCCAGCGAGTGCTCCTGCGCGGAGGCCGGGCACGGCGAGTCTGCGGCGCGGCCGGAGGAGGAGCCGCCGTTCACCGAGGAGGACGTCCTCCACGTCAGCGGCGTCACGCACCCCGCGGCGAGGCTAAAGGAGGAGGCGCGGGACAGGCACCGCGAGCAGCTCCCGGAGCGGCACATGACGTCCTCGTCGAAGTCCGCGGCGGCGTCGCCCTGCGCGTCCCCCGTGCGGGGCTGCAGGGGGCCGCGGCCCGGCTGCTGCAGCCTCGGCGTGGCGCGGGGCTCGTGCGGCAGCGGCGACGCCGTGCGGGAGACCGCGGCCAGCGTCTTGGCAAGCGAGCCCCGACAAGTGCCGGCGAGCGAAAAAAGGTGCAGCGCACCGGCCGGAAGCGCGGACGCGGTCGTCGCGTCCCGGCGGGAGACAGGCTCGCTGCTCCCCCCATTCGCCTCCGCGGGCGGCGCCGGGCAGGCGGGGCGGGGCAACAGCCGCTGCATCTTCCCCCTCGCCTCCGCCGCAAGGGAAGCGCGTGTGCGTGCGGGTGTGTCTATGTGTGGCTCTCCAGCGTGTGCGCCGCGCAAGCCCAGCAGCCTGCGCCCTCTGCGAACGCAGCGAGGGGGGAAGAGGCAAACGGCAAGAAACAAAAAAAAAAAGGAAAACCAACAACGACAGGAAAAGGCCCCTCCCCACTTTTCTTTTCTTTTCTTCTTCTCTACGGCCTCTATTGTTGAGTCCTACAGATGGCACTAATGAAGCGAGAGAGGGAGAGAGCGCGGCAGCGTGGGAGGCACGCGGGAAGGCAGGAGGAACGACGTGACGCGTGCCACACCCCGGGGGAGGGAAACTCCCCCCACGCAGGCACCCAATCATTCCGCCGCCCTGTTTCTCCTCTTTTCTTCATACATTACGCTCGTATTTATTGCCGCCGCCGTTTTCTCGCCTGGCCGGGTTGCCCTCGCGCGCAGCCGCAGAAGTGGGCTCAGAGGCCACACACGAGCTGCGGCTGCCGGGGGGCCCTCTCGCCACCAGCCCCCGAAAGTGGCGGCCTGCTGCGGAGGGGGTTGCAGTGGAAGGGAGAAACACCGACAAGTACAAAAAAACACACACGAAAAGAAAAGAAGAATAAACAAAACACCAACAAAAACAAAAAAATAGAAATAAAAATCAGAAGTGTCTGCGGCATGAACATAAAGTGATAATAAATCACACACACACACACACAAGAAGCTAAAAACGTACAAGCCACATATATATACATATGAGTATATGCGTATATGTAGGCACCACGTAGTGTACGCGGAAAACATGATTGGGTGAAGAAAGAAAATGCCACGTGTCGCAACGCCACGGAAACTCCATCCCCGTCGAAAGCGGAGCGAAAGCAAACCGCCAAGGCTGGACGCCCCCCCCCCCCCCCCACGGCCATGAGACTAATGAAGCAGAGGGGGAATATACGCAGCGCTGGGGCACGGCGCCCGCGTGCCGTGTGGAAGCGGCATCCCTTACTGAGTGCGCTGTGCCCGCCGTATCGCCTCCTGCAGCCGTGCGATGGTGGGCACCTGAAACTCCGAGGACAGCCGCACCCCCGTCTCCTCCGCACTGCGGCAGGAGCAGCTAATGTCGTTCGCCGTTGTGCAGCTGCGCGCCCCCTCGGCCTCCTTCTTGAGGCAACAGCCGCCGGCCACATTCGTGGCCGTCGCACTTCCCTCTACGAACCGCCCCCGCGACGGCGCCGCGGCCGTTGACGCCGACGTGGAAGTACGACCGCCCGCCGCATCGGCCGGAGACATCGCGACGCCAGACCCACGTGCCCCCTGGGCTGCGCCGTTCCTCGCCGCCGCCTCCGCCCCGTCGGTGTGATTCTCTGCGTCGACGCCGCACTCCCGCCGCGCCGAGGAAACGGGGTTCGCGCCGGTGCTCAGACGCGTGTTCGCCGCCGCCGCGCCCACGCCGACGATGAGGCTGTGGAGGCGCGGCCCCCGCCCGGCATGCCCCCCGTCTGCGCACAGTGAAACCCGCGGCGAGGTGAAGGCGGACGACATGGGCGAGAGCGTCACGGAGAGACAGCCGCGACACGTCCCGTAGGGGGCGGAGGCGGCCCGAGGGCTCGTGTCGCCCACGTTGCGGCGGTCCTGGGATAAAAAGAGCGGGGAGGAGGCGGTGGTGTTCGACACGCATACCGACACGGGCTCATCGCTGTCCCAAGCGCAGCTCTTGTTCCGCCGCGCCGAGTACACCCACCACTCGCCGCTCGACGGTGCCGCGGCCGCGGCTAATTTTCGCTGCAGTCGCCCCGGCGCCCGCGACGGCCGCGGGCTCTTGCGCTCCGAGGCCACTAAACCTACTGCGTGTGCTGCAGACTCCCCCGTGCCAGCGGCCGGTGCCTCCTCCGTCGCCTCTTCCGTCGCCGCTGCTCCGCCCACCGCGGGTTCCACGTGCGTCACCGACGCCTGGTCTTCCTGCGGCACCGCCACCCCGCCCCCGGGGAGGAGTGGGGGCGCCTCTGCGCGAGGGGCGCACGCCTGCTGCGCGGGCGCCGGCTCCGTCGGTCTCGTGGGGCCCTGCCGCGCCTTCGCTTGGGTGCAACCCATCCGCCGTGTGCGTGTTGTGCGGGCAACCCGCTCACCGGACACCTCTCGCCCACGCACGGCCTACAGGGCAGAGGGAAGAAGAGGTGCGCCCTTGCTCTCGCTGCCGCACCCGTCCCTCGGAGCTGTGGCCGGAGGGAAAACGAAGACAACAAAAAGGGAAAGAGAAATAAAGCGGAAAAGGGAAAAGGGTCACGATGCAAGCGGGGAATGCATGTTCTTTGTTTCTGTTAATTTGCCGCCCGCGCAACGGTCTGCCCCGCAGGCCGCGGTAGTCTTCACTATTGACTGGGACGCGCCGCTGTGCACGGCCTCCCCCACCCCACTTTGTTTTTTTTGTTTTTTTTGTTGTTTTGTTCCTCTTCGCGTGCCGCGGCCGCAACTCGCAGAGACCTCTCAGCTGCGCCGCCTCGCCGCAGACCCCACCGGACAATGGGAAGAAGCACAAACACGCACAGAGTCTAGCGAGGAGGAGAGAGAAAAAAACAAAAAAGCACGGTCGTACGAACGAACCACATGGAAGCGGCAGCTTTGGAACGGATCGGGACGCGTATCCCGCCCAACCCTCGCTGCGCGTCCCCTTGCGAGAGCCGTCCCTCCCACACGGTCTGGAGTTGTGTATATATGTATATATATGCAAGTATTTATACATACAGGCATCGATACCGCCCGCGTGTCTTGTCTCTATGAGTCACTTCTATGCTGCCTGGGTCCCACGATGCAGGGTGCGGGCCAGCGTGGCCGCAATGGCCGCCGACTGCTGCAGCAGCGCGACGGCGTCCGGCCCCGTAGACGCCCCCGCCAAGAAACTCTCCCGCACCCCGCCCGGTCGCGCCGAAGGCTGTTCGTCTTGTCCTGCCGCCGCCGCCAGCGGTGACGTGGGCGTCGCCTCGGCGGCTTGACACATCCCCTTCACTGCGGCGGCGAGCCGCAGTTTATTCGACGCGTAACGCCGCTGCAGCCGCTCCACCGCGCGCCCCATTCGCTGCACCTCGTCGTCCCGCTTCCGCTGCAGCGCCGCCAGCGCGGTCTGGTGCACCCGCAGCTGCTCCGCGTAGTAGGACTGCTGCGTCTGCACTTCCAACTCCGCCTCCTCTGCCCTGGCACGCGCGTTGACCAACGCCGCCTCCAACTCGCCGGCCTGCTGCAGTTTCTCCAGCGCCGCGCCCAGCTGCGCGGCCACCGTCTGCGCCCCCGCCTCCATTTCCACCAACCGCGCCGTCAGTCCCGTGTTTTCTTCCTGCGTCGTCGTCAGCAGCGCGGACTGCTCCTCCCACTTACTCCGCGCGGACGCCTGGGCGGAACGAAGCAGCTGCAGCTCGTGCTCCAGACGGGCCTGCTGCTGCTCGTGCGACGCCACTGCCGCCGTCAGGGCCGTCTCTACGCCAACTCTGGCGCGCAGTGCGTCGCCGCACCTCTGCTCGGTGGCCTTCACCGCGGCCAGCAGCTCTTGTCGCTGCGCGTCCGCCCTCTGCTGTGCCGCGTCCAGCGCCCCCTGCAGTTTCTCACGCGTCCGGGCGGAGTCGTCGAGCGCCGATTGCAGCTGCTGCTGCACGCGCGCGAGTTCCTCCGCGTGGGCGGCTTTGAGCGACGCCGTGGACTCCTCTGCGGCGCCTCGCTCCGCCGCCACGGCCGCCTGTCGTTCCTCGTGGGCCGCCTGCAGCGCCCGTCGCGCCTCTTCGACCTCGTCGCGGCGGTCACGCAGCTGCGCCGCGGTGGCGTCGAGACGGGCCGCGGTGTCCTCCGCGAGACCCCGCCAGTGCCGCACCTGGCCCTTCAGCTTTTCATTCTCGGTGACGAGCTGCAGCGAGCGCCGCTCCCACCGCGTGGCGGTGAGGTCCCAGAGCGTCTGGGCAAACTGAAACCGGGCGTCCAGCTCCGCGTACTCCGTGGAGCTGCGGTGGAGCTCCTCGATGAGGCGCAGCTGCTCCCGCAATGCCCCGTTAATATCCCCGCTGCCGCCGCTGCTGCTGCTGCCACTGTAGTAGTACTCCTCGCCCATGCCGCTGCTGCTGTTGCCACCAGTACCCGCGTCGTACTCCGCCGGCTGAGGGGGCTGCTGCTGCTGTGGTCGCGGCCGCTGGGCCCCGGGGCCTCTGTGCGCTTGCTCCGCGACTGAGCTCAAACTGGGCGAGGGTGTCGGCATGGAGGAGCCTGTGGCAAGTGGCGTGGTTGTGGAGGTAAGCGCCGCGCCACCGCTCCCGCCACCCAAAACCAGCGGCGCAGCCGTCGCCCACGCACGCAGAGGACGCGGGTCGTGGCCGCGACTCCGGCTGGCAAGCAGCTGCTGAAGCCGTTGGTTCTCAATGCTCAGCCGCTGCAGCCGCAGCCGCAGCCGCTCACGCTCCTCGCTCCACTCTGCGCGCTCCCTGCGCGCCTTCTCGTACTCGGCGTCCGACTTGGCGTACAGCTGCCGCAGCCTCTGCGTCTCCTGCACCTCGCGCTGCAGCGCATCCCGCCCCTGTTTCACCGCCTCCAGCTCGCGGAGCAGCCGGGTCGCCTCGTGCTTGTAATTGCTCACCACATCGCTGCACAGCGCGCGGAGCTGGAGGACCTCCGTCGGGGAGGCCCAGTGCTCAAAGTAGGAGAGAATCTCCTCCGGCAGCTCGCCGACGTCGGAGTAAAGCGGGCGCTGGGTCTCGCTGCTTGTGTTCGTGTTTGCCGCCGGCGCGGCCACCGCCGGGTTTTGTGACGCGAGGAACCCCCGCCGCTGCTGCCTGGGGTCTGAGCCTGACAGCGTCCCCATCGTTGTGGTCGTTGTCGTCGTCGTCGTGACGGGCGGCGTACTCGCTAGCGGCGAGGAGCTCGTGGTGCGGCGCTGAGAGGCACCGCTGGAGGCCATGGCTGCTGCAACGTCGGTCGCCGCCGAGAGAAATGCTAAAGAAAGACAAGAAGAGACGCGGGAGAAGAAGGCAACCCGGGGTTTACCGTCAGTGGCGCTGCTGCTGCGGCTGCTGGCGGCGGCGGCGGTGGTGGTGGTGTCACAGCGGCAGCGGTGAAAAGAGTAAGGGGACACAAAAAAAAATTCTTTTTTCCTCTTCTTGCTTAAAAAAAAAAGGAGGGAATGGTGCATTGAGCCTGAGCCGCAGAAAATCTGCACACGGCGGACGGAGAGGCGGGACGCCGCTCACTTCCGTCCCGGCACTAGAAGTCTGAGAAGGCGGCAGGAATGCGGACGCCGTTGGTGCAGCCGTCGTGGTACGTGTACTGCACGGTCAGCTTCGCCGCCGCCGCCGCCGCGGGCCCCATGCACGTCGCCGCCGCCTTCGCCGCGCCCTCAGAAACGAGGCGGCCAAAGAAGTCCCGCTTCCCGCTTAGCTTGGGCTTTGCGGGTGTGGCAGCTGCGGGGGGCGCCGGCGGCGCCGCGGTGGGCGGGTGCTTCGCCGCCGCCGCCGCCGCCGCCTGCAAGTCGCGCGTCTTCTCGCCGGTCCCCTTCGCCCCCGCCCTCGCCAGGCGTGGCGCGCCGCGCTGGATGACGAAGCGCCGTATTTCCCCCACCATCAGCTGCCGCAGCTCCTCCCGCACCCGCAGCACCATCGCCGCGGCGGCCGGCGCGAGGCGGTGGATGGGCGGCGTCAGCTCCCAGCGCTCCTCCAGCGCGACATCGGCGTCGCCGCCCGCATGCCCGCCCTTCGCGGCGCGGGCGTAGCTGAGGCCGTACTCCGCGTGGCGGGAAACGGCGGCCAGCAGCAGCGACTGGTCGCGCGGGCTCAGCGCGGCGACGGACGCGACGGAGTGGGCGGGCACGCGCAGCGAGGCATCCAGCAAGGCATGCAGCAGCAGCGGGGCGGTTTCCTGCGCAACGACGTTGACGGAGGACATGTGGACCGCCGTCTCGCCGCGGCAGCCGTCGCGGAAGGTGCGAGCGATGTTCGTGGACTCCGCCAGGCGCCGGCTCAGCCCCGCGGACTCGCGCGGGAACCCCAGACCGGCGCCCGTGCGGCGTGAGGAGCTGCAGCAGCTGAAGCACGTCGCGGCCGTTGTGCAGGCGTACTGCTCCGCGAACGGTATCAGGGCGGCGGCGGCCGCGTCGCGGTAGGAGCGGGTGGTGAGGACGTCCTGGAAGCAAAAGGCCTCCGCCATGCTTTGAGTCTTGCCCAACGAGTAGTCGGCGTAGGCACGCTGCAGGTAAAACTCCTGCAGCCCCTCCAGCAACGTCCGGGGGTCCGGGCACTGCTGCACCACGCGGGACACGTACACGTGCCCGGGATCCACGCGAAACCCCGGCGCCGCAGGCTCCGCCGCCTCTGCCGCGGTGCCGTGATGGCTGTCCGCCGCCAACGTCGGCCCACAGTCCATGGCGAACTCCTTGCGGAGGAGGTGGACGTACTTGCCGCGCTCCTGCCTCTCAAACACGCGCCTCCAGGTGTCCCAGAGCCCCAACGCGGAGTCCTTCCCCTGCATCTCGCGCATCAACTGAAGCGCCTCCTCCCCCCTCCCACCCGCCCGCGACGCGTGGCGGTACAAAAACTGCAGCGTATTCAGGCAGCAGCGAACGTCGCCGTTGCTTGACTGCGCCAACTCGGCGAGAGCCGGCTGGCTCACGGGCAGCCCCTCGCGCGCCGCAATCTCGCCCAGCCGGGACAGCAGCCGCTGCGGGCGGATGGGTGGAAGGTAGTACACGTGCTGGCACTGCCGCCGCAGGGACCGCAGCGAGGGCACGTAAAAGTCATTGCAGAGGCAAAACACCGGGCAGTGGATGTCCTGCTGCAGGAGGAAGGCCGCCACATTCGCGGCGATGCCGTCCATCTCGTCAATGATGAGGCACTTGGGGCGAAGCAGCAGGTCCACAAGCGACACGCCCGCCCCTTCCGCCTTTGCCGCGGAGTCCACAGTTGCGGTGGCGGCGGCGGCGGCGGCAAAGGCGGAGGGGGCGCGGCGTCTCCCACGCGCCGGGGCCACCGCAAGTTGTATGGCGCTCTCCAACCGCGACGCGGTGCGGTCGACGCTCGCGTTAATCTCGATGGTTTCGTACCCGCAGTGGGCGGCGAGGACGTGCGCCAGCGTCGTCTTCCCAACACCCGGCGGGCCCACCAAAACCGCAAGACGCTCCTCCGGCCGCGCCGCTGCGACCCCTTTCGCGGCGGCGTCCTGGAAGATGTACGCGTCCCAGCTCTTCAGCCACTGCAGCAGCTTGAGGTTGACGCCGTCGTCGCTGAGCAGCTCGCGAAACCGCTTGGGCCTGTACCTCACGACCCACAGCGCCTCCTCCTGCGCCGCAGACTGCTGCTGCTGCTGCTGCTGCTGAGGCGGCGGCGACGGCAGGGCCGGTGGCGTCTCGGGCGGAGGCGCCGCCGCCGCGTCGTAGAGGCGGCGCAAGAGGGCGGGGACGTCCACGTACCCCAAGCCGCCGTGCCGCCTGCGCCGCTCCCGCGCGGCACTTGCCTGCTCCTCCCCTTCCTTTTCTTCATCCTCCTCGCCCGGTTCCCTCTCGCGCTTCCGCGAGGCCCGCTGCGTTGGCAGCCCGGAGGCGGTTAGCCAACGCACCACGCCGTTGTCGCCGCGCATCATAAAACTCACCAACGACAGCGGCGGGTACTCGCAGAGGCCACAAACCGTCGCCGCCGCCTCGTTCGTCGTAGACGCGGTGTCCCCGACAAGAGCCACAGGCTGCGGCCGGCGTTGTTGCCGCTGCACAGCGATGTCCCCGGCCGCGGGAACGGCGTCGTTGGCGCACGGCACGCCCCGCAGCAACTCCTCGTCCTCGTCCTCGCCCTCGCTGCTGCGACACGCCTCGCGCTGTGCGGCGAGCCACACCGCCTCCGCGTCCTCCGCGTCCTCCGCCGCCGCGGCTGCAGTGCGCCGCATGGCTTCTCTATCGCCTCTCCGCCGGCTAGTTTTCTAAATCTATATACGTGTATGTTTGTTTGTGTGTGTGTGTGGAGGTGCGCCACCCAAGGCCGCGGCGCCGCAGACGCCGTGCCGTCCCACCCACCCAGCTCTCGCTACGAGTCAGTCCACCCCCCTCGCGGCACGCAGCAGCGCGGGGAGCGCAAAAAGAAAGGGGGAAAAAAATGCTAGTAATACGAACACGAATAAATAAAGCGAGACGGCGTCGTCGGCCCATCGTGCGGATGGGGGGGCAGCGCGCACAGAAACAAAAATTATGCAGCACCCACGCCATGGAGCGGGAGGGAGGTGGGGCGTGAATGCGATTAGGGAATCCGCGAGTCACCCGTCCGACGAAACACGGCGCGGAACTCCTCCAGTGGGCCCTCCCACTCACTTCGCCAGGCCTCCGCCGACACGCCGCCCGCGTTGCCGTCGGCACCCGACGCCGCCCCCGGGGCGAGGCACATCACCGCCGCGTAGACGGCGAAGGCGGCGTCCGCGTCCCGCGGCGTCGCGGCGCCGGCCCGCACCTGCACGGCGAGCACGACCGTAGCGGCGGTGAGTCCGTCCAGGAGGTGCTGGGGGCCGCCCCCGCCTGCCGTCGCAACGGCGGCCAGCTGTGGCAGGTCAACCTCCTCAATCGGCTGCAGGTAGGGATCGCTGTGGTCGTGCAGCAACTTGTGCAGCGCGCCCTGGTGCCGCCGCTGGCAGCACAACGCACCCACGCTTGTGCCGCAGCCAACAGACATCGCAGCCGCCGCAGTCGTGGCGCAAAACGGCGCCGACGACAAAGATGAGAGGCGACGCAGCACGGCGGTGCCGCCGCCGCCGCCGCCGCCGCCGAAGCAGCAGCGGCAGAAAGGGGTCGCCCACGGTGCGTGGCCCAGGCGTCGCACAAGCGCACCCGCGGCCGCAAGAGGCATCCCTGCTGCTTATTCCCGTCTCCACGGCCGAGGCAAAAGCAAATAGAGCGGGAGTGAGACAGAGATGGGGGCAGTGAGCGAGCGGGGAAAGGCGCATGGCAGCAAGAAAGAAAATGCCCCCCATAGGAGGAGAGAGTATGTGTGTTCATGTATGTATTTCAAAGGGCGTCCGCAAGCAGCCACAATTTTTTTTAAAAAGGGAGACGCACGTGCGCCGCCGCGTGGCGCCGGGCGTTCAACGCGAAGGGGCGGAGAAGTCGCGGACGCAACGTTACAGGAGGGGCGCAGGCCCCACACACGCACGCGCTCGCCCCTCAGAGGCCCGGGCAGGCCACATTGAGGTTCTCGCAGAGATCCCTCAGTGCGCGATGCACGTCGCCGCGAAGTGAACTGACGCGCGAGCGCAGCTCCGCCAGCTGCAGCTCCCACCCATGACGGTCACGCTCCACGTAGGCCTCGAACTGCGCACAACGGCTCTCGACGACGGTGTCAATCATAGACTGGTGGGCCGACATCAACCGGCGCACGTGCTCCAGCACGGGCCGCATGAGTTCCCCGCGAACGCGCTGCAAGCAGCGCTCCTCGGAGTCCGCGATGAGGAGCTCAACGCGCCGCACCAACCGCTCCTCCCACGCGGCCGGCACCGCGCTGTTGGCCGTCGCCGCGCGGGCGGCAACCTGCAGTTCTGCCGCCCTCGCGAGTGGCATTAAAGGAGGCTGCGGCGCTGGTGGCGGTGGCGGTGGCGGTGGCGGTGGCGGTGGCGGTGGCGGTGGCGGTGGCGGCAGCGTCCGCAGCCGCAGCTCCTCCAACTCCAGACGCGTTGACTCCATGGCCTCCGCAACCGCGGCAAGTTGCTCCTCCAGTTTGGCGCAGTGTCGCCTGCACTGCCGCCGCGACGCCTTGAGGTCGCGGCGTTGGGCCTGCTGCTGTGCGAGGACGTCCTCCGCGTCGCGTCGGAAGCTGTCCTCCTGCAGGATGAAGCGAACGGCGGAACGCACGTGGGCGTCAAACGCCTCTGGCGACAAACCGTACATGTCACCCGGAGGCACCGAGCTCCACTGCGGCTGCGGCTGCGGCTGCGATGCTGGCTGTGCATGAAGTGAGGTGAAGAGCATCGCCTCTGGGGGCGACGAAGCAACTCCGAAAGGGGTCGGATAGCTCCCCTTTTGTTCTTGTCTTAGTTGCTGCAGCTGCCGCTGAAGGGCCTTGTGGACGGTCGAAACGGTGTACTGCTGCAGCTCGGCCAAAAGCTTTTCGTACTGAATGGACGACTGCGGCTCTCTCGCCGCAGCCCTCGCGTGGGAACTCCCCCCCAGCTGCCAAGCAGGCGGACACTCCGCCTTGGACGGTTGCTGCTGCTGTAGATCCGCCTGTTGTCGCTGCAGCCCATTTACCCGGGTGTGCAGGGCGTGCAGGTCCTCCCGCACGGCGCCGCAGAGCTCCACAAATCCCTCCCGAAGCGCTTCAATGTGGCTCACAGCGGCGCCGTTTGCCCCCGCCCCGCGGCTCGCGGACGAGGCGGAGTAAAGAAACCCACCCTCCGGCGAGGTCGGCGCCTCGGAGGCTTGCGTCCCCGACGAAAGTGCCGCGGCGCTCCCCGACGGATGCAAGTGGGGGGCCGCCGCCGCCGCCGCCGCCGCCGCCAGGGGCGGAGGGGACTCGGCGCTGCAACGCGGCAGGTCCTCTCGTCGGGAGGAGCGACGCTGCTCGCAAGACGGCGAGGAGGGCCGCACGGGCGCGGCGTCCTGCCCGGCGTAGGCGTGCGTCTCCGTGACCTCGCGCGGGGCGTCGCCCGCGGAGAGGGAACGCTGCGACGTGAGAAAACTCAGCCCGCGACTGCACGGGAAGCTGCGGCAGTCACCCGCGCCCAGCGCCCCGCCGTCCACGTGGCCTGTGGAGTCGCAAAGCGCGGGCTGCGAGGAGGCGTCGTCCGCGCCAACGGCGTCGGTGTTCATGCTGCCGCTGCCGTTGTTGGTGAGGTACCCGGAGTCGGCCAGCCACCCCTCGTCGGCGTGCAGCGCGGCGGCGGCGGCGTCGGAGAGAGCTGAGCTCGGCACTTGGGCACCGGCGGCCGCATTGTCCCGCCGGACCGCCTCACGGATGCGCTCCAGCGTCTCCTGTAGGTGGTCCCAGCGGCGTGCCGTGTGCCCTTGCGCCTCGTGACCCGCGCTGGAGGACCGCGGCTGTTGCTGGGAGTGCGGCGAGGGGCGCCCCCGCCCGCTTCGCCGGTGCCGGGGCGTCGTGGACTTCCTCGCGCCGCTGCCCGGGGGCAAAGAGCGGCCCGGGCTCGGGGTGCGGACCAACGCGCTGGCGCGGACGGAGGGGCTCATGCGCAGCAGCGAGGAGGCGGTTTCCCGCTCCACGCCCCCTGCCGACTGCGTTGACGGCGTGCCCCGCCGCGAGCCGCTGCGCGCCCGCCCGACAGCCGGCGAGGCGTGCGGCGACGATGACGATGCCCGCCGATGCGCCGATCCCCGTCGCGAACTCCCGCGGCGGGGCGGTGAGGCAGCCACCTGCAGAGACGTAGGGGCGGCGCCCGGAGCCCGCGCCGAAGCCCCACAGCCGCCGCCGCCGCCGCCGCCGGTGGTGGTGGTGGTGGTGGGGGAAGTCAAAGAGGCCGCGGCACACCTCGCAGTAAGAGCTCATCCGGAGCCACGCGTGCGTGTGTGTGTGTGTGTGTGCGCGCGCGCGTTTGCGGGAGAGGAGTGGGGGATGTGGAAAGAGTTGGCTGCAGCAGCGGGGGTAGGAGAAAGGGGGGGGAAAGGAACCGCAATGTTAATGCCGTTCCCTTCAAGAAAAGTAAAGGAAACTAAAAATGGAAGAAGACGTCGACCGCCGCCGCCGGTTTACTTCTCCTCCCCACTCTCTATGAATGTGTGTGTGTGTGTGGCTGTGTGTGGCCGGCTCGTCTAACGTGCAGCGGGGGATGAGTGCCGTGGAGGTGCTCCGCCCGCCGTTGCAAACTGCGGCCGCCGCGTCGCACAACGATCCACGGGGAGACTGAGCGGCAGAGGCGTTTTCGGTCCACTCAGCCGGTTGCCCCGCCCACCGCGGGACCCTCCACCGTCTATCGCGTGCTTCCTTGCTGCGGGTGGTTGAGGGGAGGAGAGAAGGAGATAATAGGGGGAGGGAGGAAAACGCACCGCTGTATTCCGCTCGCTCCACCACGGCAACTACGCGTGCACGCTAAAGACACACAGCGCAGAAAGCAAACAAACAAACAAACAAATAAACAAACGGCATCCCCCCGGTGGGTGTCGATGGCGGGACACACCTGGCGTTCCACAAGGGGGAGGCAAAAGCCTCTCTCCCTCTCTGTGTGTGTCTCGTCTACTGCCGTCCGTGTGTGTGTCTCAACCCTCGTCCCTCGCTGCGGCGCGGCAGCGGCTAGGCCAGCAGCACTCTACTCAGCAGCTGCCGCTCCCGCGACATAGCCTCTACTGCCGCGTGCTCCAGCTCCGCCGCCTCCCGCTGCAGCGCACCCGTGGCGCGATAGACGTTTGCCTCCTCGCGTGCCAGCGCCGCAGCCGCGTCGCAGGACGGGGAGTTGGCCGCCGCCACAAGCGACGCGGCGTCCACGGCGGGGTCGACGCTGCACCCCGCGTAGGGCAACAGGCGCGATGAGGGGAAAGCGGACTGCGGGAGCTGCAAGGCCTGCTTCGCAACGCGCAGGGCCCGCAGCGCACTGTCGCGGGCGCCCCCAGCGGCCGCACGGAAGGCCCGCAGCCCGGCGCACACGTCGTACACCCCCCGCTCCGCCTCCGCCTCACTGCCGTGGAGGGAGCAGCTCAAGCCGTGGTCGATGGAAAGCGGAGCGCCGCTGAACGTGTCTCCTTCCTGCCGCCGCTGCTGCTCCTGCGGCCCCGTGGGGGGTGTGGCGAAAGTCGTGGCCCGCAGCAGAACGCGGCGAAGGGAGTCGGCGGCGCAGGCGTCCCCCGCATGCGCCACAGGGGGCGGAGCCACAAGGCCAACCGGCGGGGAGGTGATGCCACACCCGCCGCGTGCATCGCACTCGCTGCCGCTGCAGGGGTGGTGCAGGTTTGTGGTGTCTGCGAAGAGCGGCCCCGCCGCCCCCGCCGCCGTATCCTGCGGCTCCTGCGGCTCCTGCGGCTCCTGCGGCTCTTGCCGCTGAAGGCGCCTCAGGGCGTCCAATGCCGCGTCGTGCCTGCGGTTCAGGAGTTTCACCTCCGCCGCCTTCTTTGCGTAGAGCGCGCTGCAACGCTGCAGAACTTCGCCAAACACCTCCTCGAGACTCCGCCCGTGAGGCGTCGCGGCGCCCCGCACACGCCGGGAGGAGGCTTCCAACCGCAGCCTGCTGTTTTCAGCCTCCAGGCGCAGCAGCTGCTCCTCCAGGAATCGGATTCTTCGCTCCGCCGTCAGCAACGCACGCGCGGGGGCCGCCGCGGTGTCCTTCCGGCCCCCCCAGCGTTGACACCCACACGGCCGTGCGCCGCCGCCGCTACTTTGGCCGCCGTCGCCGTCCACCAGCGCGCCGTCTAGGCTGGTTAGCAGCGCGGCCGTGGGCCCAAATACGTCCATCGGCGCCGTCTCGCCACTGCGGCCGCCATCGCGACGCCGATGGAGCTGACGAGGCACGACGTCACTCGTGTCGTGCGACTCCCTCGCCGCCGCCGCCTCTTCTGCTGATTCCTCCCCTGCCACTCCCAAGCACGTGACGCGCCGCTGCGGCCCCTCCGCGGCACCTGCGTGCGAGGAGAGCAGCGCGCTCAGCTCTGCGGCCACGCGCCGGCGGTGCAGCGCCAGGTCCTCCTCGTACTGCCTGGAAATCTCCCGCAGCCGCGCCAGCGGCTCGGCAAGCAGGAGCCGAACGATGTCGGCGAGGTCCGTCGCCCCACTGCGCCGAGGCATCGCGTCGCCGTCCTCAGACGCGGACCCCCACGACAGCTCCCTCCAGTTCAGGTTGTGGGCGGTTGTGGCGGCCTCCTCGGGGTGCTCGGTGCCCGCCACGGACGGCGGCGACAGCGGCGACGCCCCGCCTAGAGTCGCGGCGGCTGCACCCACCGCCTCCCCCAACGGCGGCACCTGCGACAGCGGCGGCGGCGGCGGCGCATACGCCGAGCTCCAGCTCTGACCGTGGCCCCCGTGCTGCTGGTGCGCCCGGGGCCCTTTCGGTGATGGTGGTGTTTCGCCCTCGTGCAGGAACGGGGTCTCTAGGCACGACCGCCGATCAACAAATGCGGCCCAAGACGAGCTCCCCACAACAGCAGCGGCGGCCGTGCCGGAACGGGGAGGCACCAAGGCACCGGAGGCATCGTGGGCCTCCGCGGCCCCACGGAACAACGCCCCCCGCTCTGGGGACATGAGGCGCCGCCCCCGAGGCGTCGCCCCTGCCACGGCGGCAGCGGCGTTGGGCGGCGTCACGGGGTTCGGCGGTGTGGCGCAGGCAGGACGCTCCGCCAGCTGCGGCCGCCACGCCGCTGGGGAAAAGTCGACCGCGAAAATGTCCATCACACGGGCGGCGGCGGCGAAGTTCTCCTGCCGCCGCCTGCGCCGCAACTCCGCGATCACCCCGCCGTTTGTCCCGTCCCCGCCCGCCAGCAGCGCCGCGGCGGCCTCCAGCACATCCCCGTTGACGTCGTCGAAGCAGGCGTCGAACCGCAGCGAGGCGATCCAGACGACGGCGGAGCAGGAGTGCTGCAGGCTCGCCTCAATCATGGCGGCGACGGCGTCCCCGCGCCAGCCGTACTGTCTGTGGGCAGAAGCGAGTGGAATGATCTCCGCAATCTGCTCCGGCGGCGAGACGGCGTCCCACCAGCCACCCTGCAGCTGGTCGCGGTGCATGTAGCGGTGCGCCATGAGCGAAAGCGCGGTGTGCGTGTTGAAGGCCAGTCGCGAGGCGGGGGCCCCGTCGTCCGCCCACACGGAGGGGCCTGCGAGGTCCCACACACGCCAGATGCTCACCGCCCCGCCGCCGTAACTAAGAAGCAGTGTCACAAGAACGTGTGAGCTTGCGCCTGCCGTTGGACGCAAAAAATCCGCCGTGCTGCAAGCTCCGCGAGACGCCTCTCCTTGCTGCTGCTGTTCTTCCTCCTCCTCCGCCCTGGCCTCGGCCGCGCGGCGCCGCCGCTCCGCGTCAAAGCGGGTGTCGGGCAGCCCAAAGACTTCCGCCGAGCCTTGCGCCAGCGCTGTGCCCACCGGCTGCCATGCCAGCGAGTGGGAGAGCGCCGTGTGCAGCGCGGCAGTGACCTCCGCGGCGGTGCCGCAGCGAAGGTAGCGGGCGGCGGGGATGTCGGCGTAGTCCTCCATGAAGCAGCCCGTGGGGGAGCCGCGGTCCGCGGCGCGGGAGAGCAGGTCGACGGCCTCCACAGCGGCCACGTCGTCCTCGTCCCCGTCTCCGACTTCCATCGCCTCACTGCGGGGACGACACGCGTCCCCGGCGTCCGCGGCGGGCCTGCACTCGACAACGCTGAGCGCCACAGTCGGGGCAGGTTCCACGGCGGCGAAGATGCGTTGCAGAACGGCAGTGAAGAGGCCGCCGCTGCGCACCTCCGCACCCCCGCCTACGGTGGGGCCGAAGAGTTGAATGGACTTCCCGCTCCCTGCGGCCCCGTGTGCGACGGTGAGCAGCTCCGCGCCCTCCGCCTGCGTCAGTGTCGCTGCCACGTGCGTTGCCAGTGCCCGCGTGTAGGCAGCGTACGGCAGCGTCTCGGCTTCGCCGCCTTCTGCGGTGAGGAACGGCGTGCGCACAACCAACACCCCGCCCCCAGTTGCGTCGCCAGCCCCCGTGCCGCCCCACTCACCCGGCGGGGCCATCGCCAAACCCGCGGGATCGCCTGTCGCTGGGTCGCCGTGGACGACGCGGATGGCGCTGCGCCGCCGGTTGTTCTCCGCGGAGGTGCAGCGGCCCGCGGAGAGGCTTAGAGCGACCGTGACACGCCCGTCATTCCCACCCCTCGCTGGGCGCATGCTGGCCGCGGTGTCTCCCTCCGCTCGCTACTGCCCGTAGGCGCACACACAAAGAAAAAAAAAAGAGAGAAAAAAAGAGGAAAAAAAAGGGGAGGCAGACTTCCACGACGCCCATTCACACAATTCGCTTCTTCTTTTCCACGCCCCGCCCCACTTTCTTTTTTTTTTGGGGGGGGGAGGCGGTGCTGCGCCACGACGCCTGCTTG